GAATGTCAAAAAGTTTAGAGAAGTCATTATTTTAAATTTTATGAATGTTAAGGTAAAATTTAGCGTCAAATTGGGGATAAATTAAAATGATCTTTTTCTGGCTGACCTGAATTAGATGTATCATGTACGCAAAATGTTTGTTGCATTTGAATTAAATGTGAGGTTAGCACATAGTAGTAGTGAGACTGTATAAACTCGAACCAAGCATGGTTGACTTGAGAAGGCAGAGGAACTTGTGTGAAAATAAAGTTAAAGAAATATTGGACTTTGTTTTTAAGTGTTTTAGTTGCTTGCCAAAACTTAAGTCGATTTGGAATATTTTTTGAGCAGATTTCATCCATTAAGGTCATCCGCAATAAGAAGACTGGCCTATCAGAAGGATACGGATTTGTGGAATTTTTTTCTAATGCAACAGCAGAGAAAGTTATCCAAAATTATAGTTGCATTTTGATGCCTAAAATGGATCAACCTTTCCGTCTAAACTGGGCAACTTTTAGCGCAGGAGACAAGCGCTCAGCGAATGGTCCTGATCTTTCTATTTTTGTCAGAGATTTAGCTGCAGATGTTACTGATAGCCTATTGCGTGAAACTTTTGCTAGTAAATATCCTTCTGTTAAAGCTGCAAAAGTCGTAATTGATGCTAATACTGGTTTTTGTGAGGTTTGGGGATGATATTGAGAGGTCAAATGCCATGTCTTAAATGAATGGTGTATATTGTTCAAGCAGGCCTATGCGTATCGGTGTTGCAACTCCCAGGAAATCCTCAGGTTATCAGCAGCAGTATTCTTCGCAAGGTATTTGATTACTTAACTTGCTCTCTCTTCATGCGCATTTTGCTTGAGCTTTCAAGCATTGGTATTTTAAATTCTTAGAACATTGTTTAAAGATTTTCATTTATTGCTTAAGTTCTTACATTTACCACCTTTTTTACTTGTCACTGGTGTATCTTCTAGATGACTTGCCCCCCCTCTTTGAAGATCCCGTGTAATTCTTGATGCAAAAGTTAACTTCACTCTTGCCCACCTGCTCTGACTTAATTTTTGCTCTGATGAAATATCTGATTTCTTTCTACAGTTTACAATTGTCTATTCTGGCTCTTTTTGACTGATTCTTTTTTGGTTATTAGAATGTGTTAGATGTGAAATAGTAGGTTGATCGGGCAATAAAATACTAATTTTCTGTTTGGGGGCAAATTCCAATTTCCCCTTTCCGTTGGGCTATTAGGGTTTAGCTTCTTTTGTTAGTGCTTTCTAAAGTTCTGTTTATAATCACTGTCCTTTTGTTTTGCAATCATGTAAATTGTTTTACCATGATAAATTTCTGAAGGGGAGATTTCAAATTTCTGTGGTTAGCAAAAAAAAAACCCCAGGAATTATTAGAAGAAACTAAGTATAGTTCATCCATTGCTTGTGGTAATAACTAGTATTATGAAGAAATCGTTACAATGAACTGCAGATTTGAAGAAGTGTATAACGGATATTTCATCTACATTGTTTTGTAAAACAGAAACCACCTTGTCATTGTGGTTACAGGCTGTAAACTTCTTGCTCACTTTTTCTTTTTGTAGTCAATCTTAAAATTGTGTAATTTCACATTTGCATTGTAGAAGAATGCCAGTGTAGAGAACACTGCAAACATGCAGATGATTATTTACATCGTTTATAACTGCAACCTTACCCAATTAATTTGGGGTTGCTGTTGTTCACTCTTGTCCCATGAATTTTTTTTCTTGTTATGGTTTAAATCTTTCAAGATTTTACTTCATATTTGCTTTCTTTTATTCTTGGAAGGTGGCCATGCATCAAATGGTGCTTCAACCCAATCTGATGGAGATTCTTCAAATACAACCGTGAGTTTTCATTTCTTTACGCTTTCCCTCTCGGGGTTATAACCATTTGTATCCCTTTGCTAATCAAAACTTATTTTAGATTTTTTTTGGAGGGCTTGACCCTAACGTGACCGAGGAAGATCTCAGGCAACCTTTCTCCCAGTATGGTGAAATTGTCTCTGTTAAAATACATGTTGGAAAAGGATGTGGGTTTGTACAATTCGCTAGCAGGTACAATTTCTAGTTATATTGGCTTTGTCATTAATTTACCGTTTGTGCTATGTATTAGAGGTGTAAGATAAGTACTATTGAGTTACAACCTTTATTGACACTTCGAGTCTAATCAGGAACAATGCTGAGGAGGCGTTGCAGAAGTTGAATGGAACTATACGTGGCAAGCAAACAGTGAGAGTCTCTTGGGGTGGCAATCCAGCAAATAAGCAGGTATCTTTTTTTTTTTATCACCAGTCCCCCAATTTACCCTCCCTTACATTGTTTATTGCAGCATTAAGAAAGCTGTCACTACATGCTTCGCGGAAATGGACGACATCTAAAAAGTCGAGTGGAATTTTATTTTCATTTGTTAAGTCCTCGGCTCGGAGTTTATCTGATGACATTTTCTGTAACACACCTTTGAAAAATCGTGTTATCTATTATTTGAATAAATTACCTCCATTTGATCTTATTATTTTGGGATAATGAAGTTTAGAGCCGATTATGGTAACCAGTGGGGTGGAGCTTACTACGGAGGAGCTGTGTATGATGGTTACGGATATGTTCTGCCATCACCTCACAATCCGGCCATTTATGCAGCTGCATATGGGGCGTATCCATTCTATGGCAGTTATCAGCAACAAGTAAACTGAAATAATAACTGTAGAAAAAAATAGCTCTAGTAAATAGACAACTCACACTGTAGAATTCTTATATAAATCCCTCCAGATGTGGAGTAGAGCTGAATTTTGACCCCTTAAGTAGGATATTTTAGGGTTTGGATTCATCATTTGTTTGATTTTCTCCGAGTTTAGAAGGGAAACTTGGTGATTCGAATATATGGCTTGGGTGAGGTGTGCGGTAGCGTGCTTCACGAATAAATGCGAACAATGGCTACCGGTCGATCAGTTCGACCATATTGGGTAGTCCGAGTTTAATAATCATGATTCATATTTGTTGGGAAGACTGTGTTGTTAACTTGTATTGCTTTTCAGCTGTCTTAAATAACATTATTAAGGGTGGTTTAGTTTTTGGAAAGTGTTTTTCCAAATTATTTTGTTCAGAAAGTTTTTGGAACATATTTTTTTACAGAATTTTCAACAATACTCTTAATCCAACAACAGAAAAATAACTGGGCCTAAATTTATTAGGTTTAAATATTTTGTCTACTATTCAAGTTTAAGTGTTTGATGAAATAGTTTCCGTTTTTAAAACGATAAGTTTTTTTTATTTTTATGAATAGTAAAACGATAAGTTAACAGTGTAGTTGAAAGATTTAGAACATATAAATAAATTTGTGGGTGCGTTAACTAAATCAAGGTGAACTTAAAATACATCCTTTTCTCTGCTCATTCTTACCTTAACCTTTTTATGTTGTTTCTGAATGGACATTTTCCATTAAGTTGTTACTTTTTTGTAGTACAACTCTTGAATGCTAAAAGATATTTAAAAATCATCCGTCTATTTATGGTAATTTTCATCATTAATATGTTTTTTGTTTTTTGTTTTCCACATTCTAATAAAAAAATTACGTATCATTCTTTAAATAATTTAAATTGAACACCTTATCAAAGAAAATTGTTGCGTTCATGCTTTTCTTTTAATATATATACATATATGTATATATTTCATATACTAAAAATTCATTATTTGCATATATATCAACACACTATATGTATATATAGTGTTTGTATTGTTTTTAAATTATAATTTGTAAGAATTTTATATTAAATTTTACGAAAGTCAATTGTATATACCCACATATTTGGTTTACTTAAAATAAAAAGAAGTACTGAAATAAATTATATATATTATTTAATTTTTATATATCAAAATATATGAACGTTTTCTTCAAAATAAAAATTTATATTAATAAAAAAATTAAAAATGGAAGATTTGATGATTTTTTTTTAAATTTTGGAATGCTTAATAATTTTTTTTGAAGAGTTTGAAACAAATAATAATTTCTTTAAAAAAAGTAAAATATTTTAAAATATTTTTTCCCAGAAAATCAGAGACTATAGCCTCTTTAGGCCCTCGCTACGATCTGCCCCGGATTATAATATGCTTTGTATAGCTTTGTAAATCATAATGACGACCATGGCCATGAGACGAGCGCATATAATCACACCAACATAACTACAATGATGATGGGTGTTCAGGGACATTGCTACTCTTGTAGCCCTATGGTGAAGCGAGGAGACAAAACTAACAATCTCCACGTGGTTCCCAATCTATACACCTGACCCCACTCATTCATTTTCACCCACTTACCTCTTTTATGCTTTATAATTATGACCATCCGATATGAATACCGAATCAAAAACCTAGAAACCTTTCGGTCTTTACAATGTCATCCATGAGGAATGATGGAGCTTCAGGGATTACACAACCGAAGAAAAAAACTTCACCGTCTTATTATATGAAATGCTAGTCAATATTAATAGAGATTATAATTCCAATTTTAAGTGGCTTGATTTAAAAAATATGATATAACTCACTCAATAAAATATAATTTAGAAGAAAAATAAAAATTTACTCAATTACAAATAAATACATAAAAATTTTAGTTTTAAAAATTATATATATTAAAACACGTTTAGAATTTATTTATACGTTTCTTATCTTATCTTTTATATTTTGTTGTTTGATATAATAATTTTTTAATATATTTTTAAAAAATCAAATAATTTTTTTATTTTACTATAGAGAATCATGAGTACCTAATACCAAATTCTAGGATGCGACGGCTTCGAATAAAATGAAAAGGCGAGATGCCATTGTGTCGGCGGGAATAAGAACAAGGTTGCCTTGCCTTCCACAAAGCACTTAAACGTGGCGTCCAGTATCTTCTACAGGTGTACCCACCAGAAGCGTCGGTATTATTTAAATCCCGTGAAATAATTAGGGGACTAGCTATATTGGTTAGCGCAAAATAATAATATTTAATTATCATGGTAAAGCGGTTAGTGAACTCAGTAACAGCTGGCCCCCTTTTAGCCCATTCCTTTCACCTCTGCCCAACACGTTTCAATGGCGTTATTTTCTCTTCCCCCTCTCTCTCCTCTTCCTCCGCCATGGCCGCTTTCTTCTGCCTCTCTTCAACTTCAAACGCGAATCTCTTTCTCTCGTACGAGAATGGGAGCTTCTTCAACTTCGTCTAAGTCGACTTCGCAAGTGATTCAGCATGTTGCTTCTTCAAATCCGAAAGTCGTCGTCACCAGAGAACGAGGCAAAAACACCAAGCTCATTGACGCTCTGGTTTATACTTTCACTTTCTTCTTTGATTTCCCCTTTTTAAATGCTTCTGATGATTTTATTAAGCACCATAGAGTTTAGCTTTTATCATTTTTTTATTTGGAAGTTGAAAGAAAAATAGTTCATTTTTTTACCATATATTGAAAATCGTTCACTGGAGTTTGAATTCAGGATCGGTTTATCATCTGTTTGATTAAATGCTGAAACTAAAGCAACTTCTAAGTCATTTTTAATTGATTTAAGCTGCGCAAGTATTTTTTAATGGTTTTTCCCTTATATATTTTCCTTTTGATTTACTTTTCTTTACAGCTCAATACTGTTACAATGAACTTCTTAAACTTCGAGCCTGGATCGTACCAAAGAAAAAAAAGCTAAAACTAAAAAAAGTATTAATGAATCTAGAGCACATGCCGTTAGTATTTCGTAGGATATAGCTGCATTAAAAAAACAATTAATTTTACAATCAGTCGTGTCAAGATATATTTAGGTTCAGAGCTCGTTTGGAATAAATGAATTTTGAAAAAAAAAATTAGGGAATAATTTCTATTTCGCATATTGTGGAATAAAAATCCATAGGAATTTTTTCCTCGGTAATCCTAGTTTATATGAATAATGATATTAGAAGGGGAAAAAGTGATTTCTTGAAATAAGACTTCCCCCTTCCAATATGAACGTTGATAAATTTTAATCGAGTTTTTTTTTTTAAATTTTTTTGAACCTTTTTCACAAACGATTTTTAATTCAAATGCACTATGTATATCTATCTAGGTGCACTCAGTTATCTGAACTTTGTTTTGTGGATCCAATGACACTTATTTAGCTGTAGGAAGTTGAGATTTATGACCTTGAATGGTTGAAAAATTGGGATTTTACCTCTGAAACTATTGGCTGTTCTACTTCTTACTAATGCAATCATCTCTGCTTTCTATTACTCTGTCAGAAGCTGCTAATTTGGATATTGAATGTACGACGTAATGAACTTAATGATTTCTTGATCTCTATTACTTTCAGTTACTTATTTTACCCTTAAAAATGCACAACTTCTGTTGTCATATTTTCTGTGCTTATTTCTCAATGTTCCGATCAATATATATCTGTCCTTTTTCACCTTAGCTTTCATTTAAATATTTGAAAACGGGAAACGTTAGTATACTTAAATGCAAAATTAATTTTTTTATGTCTAGTTGATTGTGCTGAATTATAATTAATGAAATTTCTTCCTCCAATTTATGTTCTATGGATCCTTTTCTGTTTGATTTAATACTGATCATTAATTGTTCTGCTTGCTGATGTTAAATTGTATTGCTGATTCTTGTGTCCCACTGATGCTGTTACCTATAATCGTCCTTAAACATGTTTATTAGGCATACAGGAATGTAGCTAAATCTATCTAAGGAAAATAAACACTGAACGGACATTGCTGTTATATATTCAGCTTAACATTTATTCAAACTAAGATTTAACTAATTTACAGGCTGAACATGGGATCAATTGCTTGGAGCTTCCCCTTATTCAGCATACACATGGACCTGACTTGGACAGGCTTGCTTCTGTTTTAAGGGGTAAATTTGAGAACTTTATGCTTGATATTGACAGTTGTACATAATTTAGTATAGTGAATGGGTTGTCAGTGAATTTACATGGATGTTTGACAATCTCTCTATGGAAATATAAGTCTAGTTAGTTTTAGGATGACGGTCTTTTTTTATGCTTGCTAGATATGATAAACAGGTGTAAATTCATTTTCTGCTAAGCTGTTGCTTGTGTAGCTTGTTGGCTCACAAACTAGACCATGGTATTTGAGGTTTTAGCTTCATTGTACTGCTTCTTCACTTGTCTACCAGTGGAATATCTTGGGAATGGTTATATGTTTATCGAGAAGAATATTATGATTGTAATCAATGCTCCTAAGAACAGTTGGTATTTGAGGTTTTAGTGTATTGTTTGTAAAATATATTTTTTGTTTTGGCAGCAGAAACTACGTTTGACTGGATTGTCATAACTTCACCTGAAGCTGGTTCAGTTTTTCTTGAGGCATGGAAGTAAGTGTTAGAACTTGCAAGCAAGAAACTATCTACTTTTCGTGTTAAAAAGTTGATGAGCATTAGGAATCTTTACTGCTTAAATGAAGCATGGATTTAATTTGTTTCTTTAGGGCAGCAGGATCCCCAATCGTTAGGATAGGTGTCGTTGGTGCTGGTACAGCAAGTATTTTTAAGAATATAAGGCAATCTCTTGATGTCGCTTTTGCACCATCAATAGGTACTGATCTTTCTCCACATAACTCTATTTATGTGTCATATTTGTTAGTGTTTTCATCTGGGCATTTTTATATTTTAATGAATGTATTTTATTTTTTTAATAGTTTGTTATTAGAGGAAAAGTAATATAACTTGTACTTCAAGTGGATCGATTCTTCTAACCAACAAATGGAACACATGGCATAATTGATTTTGTTCTATTCGTTTCAATGCATTACGAGTTTGTGTCATTTTTAGTTTAGAGTATATATGAAAGTCTATAGTTGCTTCTCAATCTGAGATATTTTTCCTACATTTGCTTGGTGCTGCTGCTGGAACATTATCCATCCCTTCTTTTGTGTGGCTGACATGTATTATACAATTGAAATCACGATGCTAATTGCACTATCACATTTTTACATTCAACTCATCAGCAACAGGCAAAGTTTTGGCTTCTGAGCTTCCAAAGGACGGTGATAAGAGGTGCACTGTCTTATATCCAGCTTCAGTGAAGGCTAGCAATGAGATTGGTATGATAATTGCTATAGTTTTCTGATATCATTTTCTTGATTTTTTTCCTGGAGATATTTGGCCCTTGCTTATTTTGAGAACTTCGTTATTTGAAAATATCTTCCATCACTCTGATGCATTAACATCTTAACAGAGATTTGTAAGCAAAAAACATCAACTTATATGTAAATTAATTAGTTGCATTTGATTTGATGTTTATAGATGTAAGAATCACTTGTAGTTAAGGCATAGCATATGGAGTAGTCTTGCTTTTCATTGAAATCAAAAGCCTCAAATTTGATCCGTTGAACAATAAATTCTAAATTTAAAAAATAAAAGGGGAGAAGGCCAGAAGGGAACATTTCCTCGAGGTTGGAGGAAAAAAAGTTCTAAGCTTGAATAAATCCCATAGGTATTGGTTAAAAGCCGCAAACCCCACGTAACAAAGAAATCTATTATTTTATCAATATGGTCAAGTTGTGAGGATCTTCATTCCAAATTTTACAGAGAAACCAAAATACAAAACATCAACTTTTGCCTTTGTCCAGTTTGTTAATGAAGAAGGTCGAAGGAGGGCAATACATCATGTCAATGGAACATGGATTGATGGGAGAAGAGTTACAGTAGGGGTAGCAAAGTATCAAAACAATCGGAAGGGAGTAGCAGTTGAAGGCAGGTCACAGAAGGATGTCATAAAGCCAAAAAGAGTCGAGAAACCAAAAGTAGGGGGATGATGAATCTGTGAGAAGTATAAGGGATGGTAGATCATACAAGGACGTGCTGACAACAGATATCAGAATGAGAAGTGAACCAGTAAACGGGGAGAACAGGGAGAGGTCAGGGAAGGATGCAAATGGGTTGAGGAATGTCTGGGAGATGCACATTCCCTCTGAAGATTCGGACTGGGTGAAAAGGGATAATTAAATCTTCCTTTGAGCAGGAATTAGTACTGAAAGCTTTGGCGAATGAGGGAGTGGAAGTAAAAATAGCGAGATGGGATTATGCATGGAATGCTTGTGTTGTTACATTCAAATCAGTTGAAGATTTTTCAGAAGTATGGACAAACACACATGAGGAGTTACTCTTTTGGTTCGATTGGCTGGCCTCATTGCTGAATGATGAGGGTGTGCCATTGGCGTTTTGTTTGGTGGAATTAATTGGAATTCCTCTGTTATGCTGGAATGGAGTGTTTCTGGAGAAACTTGTTGGGAGGTGGGGAAAGTTCATATGTATAAAGGAGGAATCAAAGAATATATTGGATTTATCGTCGGTGAAAATTCTGATCAGGGTGGCGAGTCCATTTGATGTTCCTGAATCGCTCATGATAGGGTCCTATGGTAGATCATTCAAAGTCAAAATCATATTTGGGTCGGTTATTACAAAACCTGATGATTTCTCTGGGGAGGAGGTGGAAATTTTTCAAAAGAATGGTACAGTGAAGATGGTTTTTCCGAGGAGGAGGACGACCGTCATCCATCTCTGGAAGCAATTGAAAGTCAGAAGCTATCAGAGGATTCAAGGCTTAAGGTGGATACGTGGCTGGATCAAGGATAGTTGAGTAGTTTGAATGGAGTTGGTGGGGGACAATTTCTACAGAGGAAGTCAAACAAAGAAGCTTCTAATTATGGGCTGTCAGATTTCTTTGAAAATGGGACAACTCTTTTAGGGGAACATGTGGGACTTGGGGTGAGGAAAGGAGTGGGCCCAGAATCTCAAGCCCAAGTGGATGATAATTTGGGTTCTAATACACTTATGCATAAAATAATTCCTGTAGGCCCTGTTTACAATTTAAACTGGACTGTTGGTGAAAAAGAAAATATTAAGGGCAGGTATATTCATCAGTTAAATAGGGAATTAAATATTCATGATGAAGATGTGTTACAGGGAGAAGTGGAGTTAGATAAGGTAGTTAAAAGTGGGGAAGAAGCAAAGGTGTAAATTGAAGTCCCTACCATGGAGTTCGTTAAGAACAAGCTGCTGGAGGAAAATCTTGAAATCTATTCAAATGGATCCTGGCGTTGGAGCCCACTATATCCTTTGTCTAGAAGTATAACTATCAGAAGTTTTTCGGTTGGGAGATGGAACTGAGGAAGGTTTTCGAGAGTATATAGAAGATCAAGTGAAAGACGGGTATGGTTCAGTTCGGGTAGAGGTGAAACGTCGAAGAAAACAGAGGAGTTGTGGAACAAATAAGGATGTCGATATTTCCTAATTCAAGCCTTCATTCATGTCCACCTTATTCGGGGGAAGAATCCAATTGTGTAGCCAATGAAGGTATTATTCAGAAGTCCCCAGAGGATCGAATTCAAACAATTCGATGTGTAGAAGATTTTAAAGCAGGTTGTCACTGGTTCAACAACAGAGAAAGATAATAAAAGGAAGAGAAGGATTTTGATTAGGGATGCATTGGATTTGGTAAGCTGTTCTACTGTCTCTTCGTCATCTTTATCAACGTTTTTGGAGGAAGCATTGGCTACGTGGGAAGTGAAGATGTTGGGGATTTCATTCAAAGAGGGTAAGAAGACTTTTATTGAAAAAATATTAAGTCTAGAGAAAAGTTCGGGTGATAAAAGAGATGGTTGAAACCAGTGGAATAGGATTTTTATTCTTTTCAGGTTTGTGGTTTATGGTTTTAATTTGTTTTCATGAACAACCTTAATATTATACCGTGGAATATAAGGGGTCTCGGGAGAAAGGAAAACTCCAGAGCAGTAGCTAGAGTGGTCAAGAAGAATAAGCCGTGTATTCTTCTTATTCAAGAAACTAAATTGGAAGATCGTTCTCTGTCGATTAGAAAAAGGATAAGGGGAAGATTTCTGAAGGGTGCAATTTATTCACCAGCGGTCGGGTCTGTGGGGGGTTTATTGGTTATGTGGAACGAAAATGAGTTTGAAGTCTCAAAAAGCCATATAAGTGGCAGGTTCATAGCGATCTTTGGGAAATTTAAGGAGAATATTTCAGAGTGTGTTATTATCAACGTATATGGCCCTCTATAGAAGCTGAAAAGAAGTTTTTCAGGGAGTTGTTGGATTTTTTTGGTAGTTTAAATCATTCAGTTTGCATTGGGGGTGACTTTAATGCATATCTAGATCCAGCAGAAAAGTTGGGTAAGTCGCAAAATTGGCATGCTATTGATCTTCTTCGAAACTTTCTGCAGTAAGCCAACTTATTTGATCTTTCTTTGGTGGGAGGAAGATTCACTTGGTGTAATTATAGAGAATCTTCAACTTGTGTCAGACTTGACAAATTTTTAATTTGTGGGAGTTCCATGAAATGTTTCCCGAATATGGTGCAGCGGTTATTACCCAAGTCCTTTATGACCATAATCCGATTTCATTAGAGGAAAATTGTTTAAATTGGGGTCCCAAACCTTTCAGATTTTTCAATTGTCTTTTAGAGGAAAAAGGTTTTGAGAATATGGTTAATTCTTCAGTGGCTGATATGTGGAAGAAGAACAATAGAAGAGGTATTTTCAGCATTTTGCAAGGAACTAAAAGGGCAATCAGAAATTGGTCAGGCAGCAAATATCATGCGGTCTCAAGACTCTATTTCAGAGTTGGAAAGTAAAATTACTGCTTTGGAAGTAGAGGCACAGGGTGGTACTCTTTCTACTCAGGAATGGGATCAGTTGTTGAGGTTTAGAAAGGATCTTTGGAGGCTGTATAGGATTGAAGAAAGCATTTGGTTTCAGAAATCAAGATCGAGATGGATCATAGATGGGGATAGAAATACGAGATTCTTTCACCTTTGTGCTCTGAATAGGAATAAAATCAATGTCATTTCTAGCTTGAAGATCAATGGGATGGTAGTTTCAGATCCTCAAATGATTAAGTCCCATATTTCTAATTATTTTAGGACAACATATAATTGCAAATCAACTATGGAAGTGGAGGATTTATGTTTAGATTTTGCAAAGTTGTCGGTGGATCAATCTTCACGTCTTGAGGAGCACTTTTCAGAGATGGAAGTGTGGCAAGCTATTGCATCATCTGACAGTACAAAAGCTCCTGGTCCGGATGGTTTCACAATGGGTTTCTTCAAGAAATGTTGGCCCAGTTTAAAGGAGCACTTACTGAAATTCTTTTCAGATTTTCATTGTGGAAGGGAATGGGAGAATGGGGTCAATCATGCTTTTATCACCCTAATTCCGAAGAAGTTAAATCCGGAGTGTCTGGATGACTTTAGACCAATCAGTCTTGTTGGTAGTTTATATAAAATTCTTCCAAAGTCTTATATAGCAGACTCGGTTGTTGTGTTAATGATATTATTAGCCCTTCCCAGTTTGCTTTTAGTCCTGGGAGGCAGTTGATGGATTGTGCTTTCCTTGCCAATGAAGGTATCGATTATTGGAGAAAACAAGGGCTTGAAGGGGTTGTTCTCAAAGTTGATTTTCGTAGAGCTTATGACACTGTTGAATAGCCAAACTTACTTAGAGCTATGTCAGAGATGGGCTTCGATGAAAGATGGTGTTCATGAATATCACAGTGTTTTCTTCAGCTTCAATTTCGATTCTTGTTAATGGGTCCCCCTGAAGAATTTCCAATGGCAAAAGGGCTTACACAAGGATGCAGTCTTTCTCCGCTTTTGTTTAATATAGTATGTGAGCTGCTTAATTTGATGTTGTCTAAAGCAGTTGAACTGGGTCTTTTTAATGGATTCGTTATCGGAAAGTCTGAAGATCCTTTTCGGTTATCTCATCTCCAGTTTGCCGATGATCTCATTATTTTCTGTCAAGCTTCCCTTTCACAGATTAAAAATGTCATAAGAGTTTTGAGGATATTCAGTCTAATGGTAGGGTTACATCTAAATCTTGCGAAGAGAACTTTTTGGGGTTAATGTTGAATAGTCCATCTTAAATGATTGGGCGTTGGCCATAGGTTGTTCAGTTGGTTCTTTTCCCACAGAATATCTGGGCCTCCCTCTTGGTGCTAAAAGGAATTCTGAAATCCTATAGGATCCGGTCATTAAGAATTTTAACTTGAAACTTCTTGGGTGGAAATCTTCATGTCTTTCCTTGGCAGGCAGGTCAGTACTTCTGAAATCAGTGTTATCTTCCTTGCCTATTTTTTCCTTTTAATTTTTAAAATGCCTAGCAAAATTGACAAGAAATTAAACTCTTTGATGGTCAATTTTATTTGGGGAGATTCTGAGGAGAAATGGAGTACAGTTTGTCGGCCATTAAATCATGGTGGGCTTGGAGTTCTGGATCTGAATCTTACTAATCGAGCTCAACTAGGAAAATGGGTGTGGAAGTTTGCCAATGAGAAGGATTCGTTATGGGGAAAAATGTTGTGCAGTAAGCATAAGGTCAGTTGCAACTCCATGTCTATTTCAAAGGTTTTTTTCTCCTCAGGCATCATGGATTTTGAGAGGTATTGCTAATAACTACCTGAAGAATGATGCGGAGGGAGAGTGCCTAAGATCGAATTCGAAGTTGCAAGCGGGTAATGGTAAGTCCATCTTTTTTGGACGGATGTTTGGTTTGATAACACACCTCTCAAAAATCTGTTTCCTAGAATTTTTGCTCTTTCTCCTAATAAATGGGGTAAGGTAGCTGAGTTCAGTAGTTTTGAGTTGAATGGTTGGGTGTGGAACATATAAACTAGGAGAAATTTGTGTGATTGGGAATTGGACCAATGGGTGGATTTGTTGTTTAAATTGAACAACATAAATTTGACCGATTCAGTGGAAGATTTCCTATCTTGGTCTGCATGTGGTGATGGATTGTTCTCGGTTAAATCTTTCAGAAGGGCCCTTAATGAGTCATATGGGAATAATTATTTGTGGAAGAAATGGGTGTGGTTGGGTTTAGCTCCTCCTCGTGTTGAATCTTTCATTTGGCAGTTATCTCATCAGAAAGTGACAGTTAGAGTAGAGTTGGTTAAGAGGGGGTGCCCATTGGTGAAAATATTCTCTGTCCTCTTTGTAGGTTGTATGAGGAATCGGTGCAACATCTTTTTATTTCATGTTATGTCGCTTGGGAACTATGGAATAAGATTATCAGTTTTTGGAATTTATCTGTAGTTTTGCCAAAGGATCCTCCTTCTCTCCTTAGCTTGTGGTCTGAATTGAGGGTGCATTCGATGATTTGGAAGTTTATTTTGGGTGTTGTTTTTTGGTCCATTTGGAAAGCTAGGAATGCAATTGTTTTTGATAGATCCTCTCTGGACAAGATATCTCTTTTCTTCATAGTTAGATTTAGGTTATCTCAGTGGTTTCTAGCCAAGTGTCCTCAAGATATTATCCAGGAGGATGTGCTGATTGGAGATCCTTCCCTCGCAGATAGTGTCTCTATTCCCAAATCTAAGAGATGTCTTCTGCTTTGCTGGCTTCCCCCTCCATGGGATTTTCTTAAGATGAATGTTGATGGAGTTGTAAGGTTTGATGGGTTGGTCGGAGGTATAGGTGGTATTTTAAAAGATTGGAATTGTTGCACTCTAATTACTTTTTTGGAAAGTATAGGTTAAGGGCCCCTCCAGCTGCTGAATTAAAAGCTATTAAAAGAGACATTGAAATTTTTCTTTCTTCAGTTTGGGTTTCTGTTGGTAGGTTGATTGTTGAAAGTGATTGTAAGTCTGCAGTGGAGTGGATTCAGTCTCCGTCTTCGGCTCCTGTCTTCTTTAACTCTCTAGTTAAGGAGATTTTCTCTTTTTTCTGATAAGGTGTCTTTAGTTAGGTGGATTCCAAGGGCTTCTAATTGTGAGGCAGATAGTTTAGCAAAGGAAGGGATTGGATGAATGTTAGGTTTTGGTTTTAGGCTATTTTATTCGTTTTTGTAGTTTTTGTTTTCTGGTGTAATTGTTAAGTTTTATGTAATGCTATATTAATAAATTAAGGTACTCTTTTCCTCCTTCCGCTAGTTGGTTCTTTCTTTCGAGAAAGGAACCACTATGAGGGAGGTTTTTAATGAGGTCTCCTATTTCTATAAAAAAAACAAAGAAATCTATTATCTATTAATAAATGCACATTAAATTGTGGTGGCATTCTTTATGATGAAAAAATTATCAACCTCAAAAGTCCTTTTTTTTGCGCTTTTGTTCTTCCCTACCATTTGGGTATTACTTATTTGAAAGTTTTATATTGCTTTTGTTTTACCTAGTACATTGTTGAATTTTTTCTTATATTTACTGTATTAAGTGTCATGCTTGACGTTTTATTATTATACTAGGAAATAGTGAGAACATATCTTGACCCTTGGTTTTGTGTATCTATTGCAGAAGAAGGCTTGTCTCGCCGTGGATTTCAGGTTGTTAGGCTAAATACATACACAACTGTGAGTATCTTTGTATTGGTACTTCTAGTTTCAGTTTCCTCTCTAGGTGTCATTCCATTAATGTTTACATTTTTTCACCTTATCCTACCTAATATGAAGTTGAATTGCTTTGTTTTTCTGTTCAATAAAAACTTAATAATGCCTGCAAAGTAATCTGTCTATTGTAATGTTGAGCGCAACACATCAACATAATCCAAAAATTCATTTTACAAGGTCTGGGAAACGCCCCAGATGCATGAGATATTTCAAAGAATAACTATACCCCAGATTCATGAGATATTTCGAAGAATAAATATACCATAGATGCATGAGATATTTAGAAGAATAACTATCTCCTGCAGAATGCTGTTGGACTCTGCTGACATCCCATGAGGGTGGATTGTAGCGTGCAGATTAATCTTGGAAGTAAAAACAAAAAGAATATATCATGCAATTGGACCATGCTTCAAGATTTGTTCCTGGTTCAAGATAGTAGCTTGTAATTGAAGACGGTTTACAACTGTCAATTGACAATGCTCATTCCTTTCAGGTACCTGTTGATCATGTTGATCAAATTGTCTTGGAGAAAGCCCTATCTGCACCGGTTGTTGCTGTTGCTTCACCTTCTGCAGTACGGTATGTAGTTGATCCTTTTCTCAGCAACTGTAGACTGTCTCAAAATATTTTTCCATTTGTTAATCTGTTATAGAGGATGTTCTTCTATTGAGCTTATCTTCAGCCAGCTCATTATCAGTCCTGTAGACACCCTCTGATATGGACGACTTGTGCCTGCTTGGGCCACCTGATTTGGCAAGTCTCTTGTTAGGACAATTTCTTGTTTATGGTAAACTTAGTTCGTGCACCTCCATTGTTACAGAACATGGGTCAATCTTATTTCAGAGCCTGATTCTTGGAGCAACGCTGTTGCCTGTATTGGGGAAACAACTGCCTCTGCTGCAAAGAGATTAGGTCTGAGAAATGTGTATTTCCCTATGCAGCCTGGACTTGATGGGTAACTTTTTTCCGTCTCTAAATTTCTGCATGATGTTTCAGTATTAGAATTTACTGCTCTGCTAATTTGTATTGGTAAGCTTAGGTAACTAAGAGTAGGTTGTGTTTGAATTCCATCTGCTGTTGAAGCAACAATTGTTTTTTGCTTCAATAGCCAGGCTTTGCTAGCAAATCCTGTACTCTATTGAGTATTGACCGAAGTTATCTTTGAGATGAGCTTCCTTGACTTGGCAAAAATGATCTGGCTAGTGTCTTCTATTATGGTCACTTTTCTCTCTTTAATAAACCTTTTTAATCATTATTATTTATCAAGTTAGAATATGTTTTGGGTTCTGACTAAATTAAAGAATCTGATTTCTTGGATTTATATGGATTACCAGATGGGTTGGTAGCATCCTCGAAGCCTTAAGAGCTCAGGACAGTTTTTAGGATTGAAAGATGTTAAGGTATCCATTTTTGCCTCTTTTCTGTAGTCGTTCCTGGAAGTAGTCTCATATTTTCTAATAGAATAAATGAGTTTTCTATTAGGTCCCTGTGGAAGCTTCGACACAGAGTAAAGCAGATGTAGAACCGCAAGCATTTTTAATTCATTGAGGCACAGGCCATAGTAAGTAAAGAAAGATTTGCCAAGTAGAAGGGTTGGGATTTGTAGAAATTTAGTATTTTGAAGGTACATATCCATTTGGAGGCTGCCGCACTGCTTTTCAATGTCAGTAAGAGGAGGCTATTCAATTCACATGATCAGAATTTGTACATGCATTTTCTCACTGTAAGCCCATTATTTTGACTCAATGTCAGTTGTGTTGAAATTGAATGTGGTGCACTTCCACTCCATGAAATCTGATAAGCAGTTAGGAAACTATCAATTGAACTTGTAATCATAGTTACCGTGCCTTTTATGCTGAATTGCATTCCTTTGTGATAATAAAAAAATTTCTTAAAAAAACCTTGTCTAAAATTTCCACGTGTATGTTTATACTGAAATATTTTGAATATTGCTGTCAAACCCTGCCTTGTCAAGAACTGGATGACCTGATAAGGTCAATACTGAATTTTTGGTTGTGAGGGACGAATTCCTTGTAATTTGTCAAGTTGCAATAGAGAGGTTTTGGCAGTCATTATATGAGCTCTGTACGCATTTGGCCTAATTTGTGCTTGGTTGATGCACTGTAAAGTTTGTCTTTATTAGATAGTTGCTAAGATGGAAACATAACAATACTTGTACATACATGTCTGTAACTTTTTTTGAAGAAAAAACTCCATCTGCAGAGAAGTGGTTCAGCTTCTTTATCGTCCATTTTATAGATACGCCTTCTCCTACATGAAACTATATATAGAAAGCATAGGAGCTTGGCAGTAAATTTCTGGAATTTCAGAATAAGATGATTCCCACGCTAAAGTACATACCGGGAGGGTTCCTCTTAGGATGAAGGGCGACCTGGAGGCAGTTTCCCCTGAAGGAAAGATGTGATCATGGTAAGCACTCTTGCTGGCTGGTAGCTTGGAACCGTGTGTCCAGCTCCCCGAACTGTCGTGAAAACCAGTCCCTTGTAGCCAACGACATATCCTCCAATCTGCCACCATTGGCCATGAAATATGATTAAAAGGTTTTGGCCTTGATTCATTGAATGTCGGGAAACAAATCCATATTACCTCACTCGCAGAGTACCATGGCTGCCAAGCAGTCTCTACCGGAAGCTCTAGTATTTCGATGGCATAATGAGAGAATGTCACTGGAACTCGACCATCTGTATCGCCACTGCCACCAGCATGTTTCAGTTAAAAAAAACAGTATATATAATTCTATACCTTTAGTAAATTAATCGAGTTTTTAATCTGTACCTGTATATCCACACCCTAATCACTTTTGCCAACTCTCGTGTTTGAGGAAGAGTAGAACTTGTGCTCTGTCCATCCAACTTCACTGAGCATGGTACATAAGCAGACTGGCCAGAGATATTTGTTTCATCCTCCATAGGATCTTTGATTTGGTATAAATGTTTTTCGTTCGATTAGCTGTATATAATGCAGAAATACTCCATGAAAACAGTTATGTTCAAGGCAAATCAGAGGAATATTTTGCGAATGTCTTTGAAAGGAACAAACAGTGGTCGTGCTTACCCGCATCCTGACCATTTTGTAGTTTTGGCATGAAGGGCTGCTTGTATCTCGGCAACCTTAAGGTAGGACTCGACGTGAATACCAGAGCAGGGATCAAAATTCAAAACCTAACAATTCAATACCATCAGAGAATTTGGTAGGCGTATTTGGTTTGAAAAAAAGCCTTCGTCTCAGATCCTGTACAAGTTTGAATTGAACCAATAGGACAAGTGGGTAAAAGCTTTTGTATCCTACTCATTTCTTCATTGTTTTCTGCAAGACTTGTCATGAAGCATGATTATGCTTACATTACCATCTGAGCCAGGTTTTATGGCCGATAAGTTGCATATAGGGGAGTAAATGCCATACCAGTCAATGTCTCCCATCTCCATTAGTCCCTGATTTTGATACTTATCACATTGGTCCGCAGTGTTGCCTGCATCTTCCTTGTTGGTAACCAGATTTTCACTAGCAAAGTCGCAGTACTTAATAATTCCTTCTTTGGTTTCATCCGAGTTGAGAGCATGTGTCCATAAATAATCAAATATCCCCTTCGTACAGATGTCATCAACTATCCAAGCATTTCTTATCTGCAATATGTAGCCATTACAAATAATCATACATATAGATAAGATTTATGGTGGTAAAAGGGTGAATTTTTGTAGTCAACTTACAGCCATTCCTTTGAGATGGATAATGGTTTGATTTGTGCCCTTGATTATCGAGACAATATAAGAAGCAAGCTGAGGAACATAATGACCGGCATAGCTCTCACCAGTTATGAAGAGATCTCGTGTTTTATACTGTGGAAATCTTTCAAGCCAGTTGGGGAGAAAAAAATAAGAGTCCTCTGCTGTTCTCTTGTCGCCTACATCAGTATAGTCGTTGGAATTTTTTGAATAAGAGAACCCAACTCCTGCTGGTGATTCCAGGAATAACACGTTTGCAACTGCAAAATTTGGAGGATGTTTGAGTAAAATAATCTAGGAGAATTTGAGATTGTGATGGTGTCAAACCGAAAAAGAGGTTTCATGTACAGGTGTTCCATGCATATTCATTTCTGTATAGTGTTTTCCAGTCACTGTTTACTCTGAAAGGTCCTAGCTCTTGCATGGCTCCAAATCCGAAAGATGAACATCCTGGACCTGCACAACAAGGTCAATCGCCTCTTTTCTCTTTAAAACAAAGTCTAAACCCTATACTGCTTGTTAGGAAACTGGTTAAGCATGATATTCAAGAAACATTGAATACTTCTCATTCATTCCAGTAAACGGATTACATTGCTTTATAGCAGCTAACAGAAGCTTAGTTCTAGTCTAGAAGCTTTGTAACTACCTTAACTGACTACTAACAGCTCTAACAACTCTTAACTGACCTTAGCTACTTAGCTATAATATTCCCTCTACTTTCTCCTCCTCCTTCAACAAAGTAACAAGCACATCTTTGCCCTGAACAATTGAAAAGATGAACAATTGAATCGAAAGTGCGGATGCTTCCTTCCGTTCACTTGAATCGAAAGTGCCGATGCTTCCTTTCGTTCTTCTTGAATCGAAAGTGCCGATGCTTCCTTCCGTTCATTTTGAATCGAAAGTGCTGATGCTTCCTTTCGTTCTTCTTATTCACCTTCATTTCTTTCTTCTTCACCCTCTTTTACAAGGTTCTTTGACATATTTTTTTTATGGACTCTTGGTTGTGAAGTCCCATGACACTTTGAGATAAAAGCAACAAAATGAATACAAAATTAAACTTCTGTTTACACACACAAAAGAATTATACTACTATGCTACTTCAGTGGCCAGCTCCTCATTCGCTTTTCGTAAGTGCAGAAGAATTGCATCAGTACTCCATCAACTTTGATAAGCTATGTTGCAGCTTTAGGATCAGGTCCCTTGATAAGGTTTGACAATGCCCAAGCTGTTGTTCTCACAGTTGAACCGTTGTTTGGCAACATCATGCTTGCAAGAGGTGGCAAAGCACTTTGAGATAGCATAACATTTCGCAACTCCTCCCCTTCACCAGCAAGATTGCCTAATGCCCAGGTACACTGCTTGGCAACAGGCAAGTAACTCTTTTCTCCAAGGTGTGCAATGTGGAATGGTAATGCAGGCATCAAAGCTTTTGTTTCTTCCGGTTTTCCTGCTGCAAAATTTGTAAGACACCAAGCTGCCTCGAGCAATTGTTCATCCGGAGATCCAAACGAAAGGCATTGCACAAGCAGGGGAATAGCTCCAGCTTTAAGAGCAGCTTCAACCGGAGAGAACTCAGATTTTGACAATAATCGCCTTAACTCACGTAGTGAATTTACCCTCTTCTGCATTGCACCTTTCCCCTGGTAAGCAACAGCGGATTTTAACTCCTCCACAGCTGTAGAAGTTTGGGCATCTAAAAGAAACCCTGCTTTATCAGTTATCATATCATTTCCCTCGACGGGAACATCGCCGTCACCAGTGGCTCCCACTCTACACAACCGTTTCGCTCGGACCAACGATTCTCTCCTCTCTTTCCCCACCGTCATCGCCTTTTCCCGCCGTCTTTGAGCCGCTACGTTCCCAACTGATGATTTAATGGGATCTCTTCGATGGGAAGTGGAGGAATCATCGGCCATTCAGAACTACTGAACAACCACCTTCTACCCCAACAAGCACGATGAACTAACAAGAACGCCCGTAGCAAGAAAACAGAAGGCTCCAGGAACTTATGGCGATTGATACCATGTTAGGAAACTGGTTAAGCATGATATTCAAGAAACATTGAATACTTCTCATTCATTCCAGTAAACGGATTACATTGCTTTATAGCAGCTAACAGAAGCTTAGTTCTAGTCTAGAAGCTTTGTAACTACCTTAACTGACTACTAACAGCTCTAACAACTCTTAACTGACCTTAGCTACTTAGCTCTAATACTGCTACATACTTGGCAGATTGAATACGAATATGTATTCAATTTCAATTTTTTAGTTTCTTATATACATTTAAAATATCACAATATTCATATTTGTATTCAAACAATATTAAGTACAGATATCAAACAATAATATTTAAAAGAAAAATTAAGAATCTGACTAATATAGACCACGAACAATTCCATGTAACTGCTAATATATTTGTTCCGTTGGGAAAAGTAGGGGGAAAAAGTCCACAACTCTGTTGGGAATTATTTGGAGATAATCTGCATTATAGCTGTTTCAAATTTCACCAATTTCATGGATAGAGGTGTAGATTTTTCCTAAACTCACAGTCCAGGGCGAATGTTATGGAGTTTTCTAACGAAGCAAATGCCACTGTTTGAATCTTCCATTTTCCAGCAGTTTGAAAAGGATTAATGAAACGAAGCTGTCTAGGTACAAATACTTTGAGACCGTACTCCAAAAAGTCGATAACGATATATTCAATTAGTGGGGGGAGCCCACTCAATTATGTATCGGAATGCTGCTTTATTCATCATCAAGCTTCGAGATAACGACAATCATTGGTCGGTTTCGCATCTTTGGCTAATTGTTTGAAGATAAGACTCGGGTGGGATATTATTGTTTCAAGCCAGTGGACGACATTATTTCTGCCCTGAAATAATCGACCAAGGACTGATTTGTGTGTATGATAATCTACCAACACTGATACAATAAACAACGGTTGCAGCGGCATATTCAGGTACGATTTAATATGTATTTTTCTATAACCATGCAAAACAAATGTAAAAATATACCTGTGCATACGGAGTCGATAATTATAGATGAGTTTGAGCAGTTAAATTACCTCCATTTAACCATAAAAGGAGGGGCTTATTCAGAGAATTCACTGATGACTACACAAAATAATAGAACAATGCTCGGTCAGCCGCCGGATCTACTGTTACATAGCCAGCATACTGATCAAAATCTACGCCTCCAGGCTGACCTGGCAATTTGTCGATCTTGTCAGCTTGCATCAACCCTTTCTGAGATCCTACATACACTGGAGAGTTATGACTGTTTCCCACATCATCTAGCCGAGCCCACAACTCAGAGCGAGGTGGGCTCGAGGATCTGCGAGATGCAATCAACCGGTTGAGATTATCAATCTGGTTTCCCATGCATGACGAAATGGGGTAACCAGGAAAGTAGCAAGGAAGTAGCAGCAGCAACCATATTACGATAACTCTCATTGCCGATAACGTAAATTTCAGTGCAGAGTTTGTTGCCTGTGAACTGAAGAGCTTATGCCGACTTCTAGTTCCACACTAGTGTGTCCGTATGTACGTGTATATATATATATATATATATGGAAACTAATGATTGTATATTTGATATTTTTCTCTTCCTTTTTGTTGGTAAGTTGAAGTTTGCAGCACTTGGCCAGGCGAGGGACGGGACCTATAGGGGCCGAGTTGATACTGCCACTTAGGGTTGAATTTTAACCCACTTTTGGATTTGAGTACTTAACCTTATAGAATGGCTTCAATTTGAGGAGTGGTTTTCAACACCCCCAGTAAATTCTAATTGCATGATTGGTCCCTAGAATTATTGCATCCAATCTTTCCCAAAATTGATGAGTGCAATGTACAGCTACTATTTTTTTCTTCAGAGCGATGTATATTCCAATTTTGTTAAGTTGGGTACTTTTCACATGAAAACCTGACATCATCCTTATCTATATTGTTAGTGGTATACATGTGCTGCATGTTGCAGGCAAAAGGAAAGGCACCATCCATGTCATCACTGCAATAATTTAATTAAACATGTCTGGAAAGCACTTAGTGGAGCCACTCCGGATACCTCTTCTTTACTATCTTTATTATATTGCTTATAGGATAAAAAGGAGGAATCGTATACAAAAAATACATATACATGGAGTGTAACATCCCAAAACTAGAGCAAGCGACTAAAATGGAAGTTTTGAAAATTTGAAGTCTGATTTTGCAATATTTGAAATATTTTTTTATTGCTCAATAAATAACTGATGGAATAAGGGGTATAATGGTCATTTGACAAAGAATTTTTTTTTATTTTCCCTTATAAAAGAAGTAGACACGTGGAGAGGAGAAGAAAAATAAGAAGACTCTGGAGATGCTTGGCTTTCTTCTTCCTTTCTTCCTGTGGCTCCATCGGTAAGATAAGATTATGTCAAGTGATTGTTTCCTTTCAATTTGAAGTTGGGTTTAATTCTTGAGATGATAATTAAGCTTAAGGAAAGCTTAATTTGTCTTAAAACCATAAGATGAAGGAGTTAAGAGAGATTAAAGATTAGAAGTTTTTAAATGAAATTTTGGAAAAGAGTTGATAAGTAGAATTTGAAGTTAAATTTGACTTGTCAATAGTTGAATTAAGAGATTTGGAGTGATAGAATTGGATTTAGAACATATAGAAAATTTGGTATGATTCTTGAATCTCATTTGGAAGATAAGATTTCGAGGATAAAGATGTGATAAATGAGTTTAAGCATGAGTATGTAAGTTAAGAATAAGAAAGGGGATGATATATGAAGCAATTAAGATGAAAAGAGTGAATTTTCGTGCATAAAATGGAATTTCTGGGTTGTGTGCATCGATGCATCTTCAATGTGTATCGATGCACTCAAATAAATAAACATCGAATGCAATTAGTGCATCGATGGATAAGGAGTACATCGATGCACCCCCTTAAAATGAAAACATCGAAGGTGATTTGTGTATCGATGCATGGGTAGTGCAATGATGCACATGTTAAGGGATGCATCAATACACTGTAGAATGTACTGATTCACTTCAAGGGGAAATAGAATTAGACATTTCTTTCAGTCTAAGAAGTGATAGATTATAGTATATCAATTGGATATTGATAAGTATCAATACATGATTGTGTAGACATTGATCGAAAGCAAAATTCGGATAGGTCGTCAGAGTAAGATTCGCAAGAAAGAAAAATAACTTGGTAGTGTTCATTGTGACCAGGTGAGTACATGATATTAAGTGTATGTTATGATAAGGAATTAAGACTTGCGACGAGTCTAATTTCGACATTATGTTATAGGGGTGTTGAAGCATAAACATGTAGTGATATGGTGTTAAATGTATTGTATATGAGTAAATGCATATGTTTAATTGTTGAATGTATCTTTATATGTGAACTATGTAAATGTATGTATGTGTGATAATAAGTTATGTGAATACATGTTAGTGTAATAAACTAGATTAAATGTTATAATTGAATGAAGGGATTGTATGAGAACATGTATATGTGAACATGTGTTATGAGATAAAAATCATGACTATAAACTATGTGAAAAGGAATACAAGTAAAAGTGAAAAGCTATGTGATAAGTGAATGTGAATTACATGGAAATATGCTATATGAAAGTGAACTATGTGCCTACGTGAATATGCGAAAAAATATAAAAAGTAATTGTAACACCCCCAACCCATACCCGACCCGGATATGAGTCAGAGATACTACATTGACTTTAAAACACAACTCTTAATAAATAATAGTAAAATATTGGGACTTGTATTAAGAAAATACAATAATATACATACTGTAATATAAGTTTACAAAAATATTCAGAGCATACACAACTTAACTCTTTAATTACATGCCAACTGCTATTTACATAACAAAATAACCTACTGATAAGTTGCTTCTGATCTGATGGTTGCAGGAGTAATACTGTCAAGCTGCTTCACCTGTCTCTTCTATTTTCCTCGGATCCTACGTGTGAAACACTCACACGCTAAGTCATCGACTTAGTGAGGCAACAATAATAAGGCAATGTATTGTAATGAATATGTCAGTATCATATGAGATGAGATGCAAACATGTAACTAATCAATGTAATCAATGTAGTATACTTTAACAATATCCATACCTGTAAGCGTATGACTGTAACATTCATTATTCAGTATTAATAAGTTTATTGGCCCATGATAGCATATTGAGAACCTAAGGTATTTGAGTAATGTGAGGTTGTGCACTATGCTGTCACCACAGCTCGTATAAATGCACCGAAGTGCCCGTAGAATTGCACCGAAGTGCCCGTAGAATTGCACCGAAGTGCCCGTAGAATTATGTCCATAAGGACCACGTAGAATCCTTTAAGAATCATATACATATACTATGGATCAAGTATGTGTCTTTCAAGACTTCACACAGGTTCCAAAGGATATACATATGCCCTAAAGAACCGAGTATACCCTCTACCCTTGGCATGCCAACTATACCTATAGTTCTCATCTACATAACATGGGCTTATACATTTCCCGTAGTTCATATCGCGTAGACATAGTATTTCCATACCTTTAACACATAGGCATATCATTTACATACCTTATCACATAGTGCATAGAACTTTTCTGCATATTCATGTCATGTAATACATATAAGATGAATTCATGTCATGTAATACATTTAATACAAATTCATGTCATGTATCATAATATGGAATGTAATCATGTGTCAAAATATGGAATCTAGACTTATCACAAGTCTAGAACTGAATATACTACTATATTCATGCTATGCATATGCACTCACCTATACTTCTTTGCCTTTTCCTCGATCGATTCTACTTGTAGATTGTTCCCGAACTCGAGTAGGCTCGGTATCTACACAAACATAATTTTTAAGATGATCATCAGATGTCTATGTCTTGAAATTA